CTATCATTTTATGTTTCTATGAATGTAGTGAGTTCCTTTTCTCAAATATCATCTGTCTGAGTGTGTGACATTGTTCACTTCATTATGACAGAAATCTGTACTGCTTTAGCTATCAATCTGGGAAGCTGGAACATTTGATGAAGGTAAGGATGTAGTATTCAAAAAATTAAAATTGAAAGGGAGTTGATTAAATTGTGGGACGGAGGGAGTACTTATTTGAAGGGGAGTCATGCATTCTTTTATGGTCCCATATTTTAGTTGCATTTATTCTAATTATAGTGGATGATGGATTAAAAGAAAGCATTTATTAATTCATCTATGGTCCACTAAAAAGGCAACCTCATTGACAATTTGTTCACCAATGTTCCAAATATTTCATTACTTGGGTGGCAGGTGCATGAGAAAGATGTGATTGGTATTACTCACCATCCTCATATAAATCTTGTTGCCACATATGGTGAAGACTGCACAATGAAATTATGGAAGCCATAGGCCCATACCTTTTCTTTGCCATGAAGATCTCTAGAATGGATTTATGATAGTTCCACCATTTTTCTTCTCAACAACCCATATTTAATTTTTGTACTATCAAATGTACTTGTTCCAGACTCCGAGTATATGCAACCAGAACTCTAGTCAAATCAATGTAATGGGTATTGGATATGACAGTGCATCTGTAAATTTGTTCAATTTATATTGTGTTACTATTCAAATTCCTAAGTCGTGCAATACTGCAATGTACTTGCTGTCTGGCAGGATACAACCTACATTTGATCAACTAAATTTAATCAAACCTAAAATCTGATAATTGTGTATGTATTGTTAAACAATAATGCTTTATGCCTTTATTTGTATACGGCAATTCACCCGCCGGTCAAAATGTCCGTGTATATATACAATTTGACCGGCGTTTTATGAAGAAAATCGTTTCTTCGCAGACAAAACAAAATTGCATAGACAAAAAAGAGTGTCAATGCACAAATAATTTTCTTGTCTGTGAAGAATGATTTTGTTTACAAAATGCCGTCAAATTGTCTATATATAGACATTTTGACAATGTGTAAAATGCCTTGTACATGAAGCATTACTGATTGTTAAATGTGGAAAATGCAGTGGTGATGTGAGACAATCAAAATAAAAATGACAATAGTTACGGTTCAATTGTTTGGTTTTGTATTTGTTTAGCATTTCTTCAGTTCAGCAGGGGCGTTTTTCTTCATTAACATGTGCACTCTTTCTTTTATTATAAATAAATAAATGAATTTCCTGTCACAAATGAAACTACAATTTATGACTTTTAATAGTTAAAGTTCACATATTTGGAAATTAAATGAAATTTCTATAAAGTTGCAAAACCTCAATCAGAATATAATAAAATTTTGATATGTTGAATAAGTGAAATGAAATTGTGTTGATAAAAAAGTTGACTTTTGTAAATTAATTGCCATTAACTTTTCTCGCTATTGAGAACTTTGTCTCAGTTTAACGAGAAGTGTGCACTACTTGTGAAATGTTAGGACCATTGCTATGTGCACTACTTGTCAAGTGTTAGGATCATTGCTATTTTCACCGAAAAACAATTCTCATTAGAATCGAACCATGCACAATTCTAGTGGAAATTGTTCTTATGTGAAAAATAAGAATGATAAAACAGTGCATATTTGGGTAAATGACGATGCACATTTCTCATTAATACAATACATACTTCCAACGACATAACAAGTTCATTCTTAAAGGGAAAAAAATAATAACCACCACATGTTATTTTATAAGGAAAACGATAAATTTTCCTGGGACGTTAAAAAAGAAAAACTAATAAAATTTAATAGGACTTTCTCTCTAGTCCCTCCTCGAAATTAACTTCTTACTTTACTTTATTTATTGAGAAATTTACCCTCCGTGTGATTAAAAGTGCTTGTGTTCCCCATAATATGACTTGCATATTTTTCTCAATGTATGACTTAACTGTACTCTTTTTAAAAAAGGAAGCAACCTATTTTGTCTCCCTAGTCTACGTGCCTTTATATTATTGAGGATACTTTGGTATCTAAAAATTCTCCCCAGTCATACGTAGTCATAAGATGTAAGTATTCATTTACCTTTACGTTATTTGGACTACTACCTTCTTTTACTATACCAAGAGTAATTTAGGAATGCCAACCTTTACATTTTTGGGAAATTTTCCGGAATATGACTAAAACTCATTGAGTTTATCTAAATATGACTAACCTAGTTTTTTTTGTATGACCGAAAATCCAAAAAAAAAGGGAAAATGGAAACTAATAATCCAACCTTTTAACGGTCTTCTTACAATAATCCAACCTTTTGGTTATTCATGAATAATCCAACCTTTGCACCTCATCTTCATTCATTGGTCCCTGACCGATTGATGACCTGCTATTTCAAGCTATTTTCTTATCTTTGCAAATCATTATATCATAAATCTCATCTTTCACAAAGATAATATTTTGCAAAGATAAGAAAATAACTTGGAATAGTAGGTCATTAAACAACCAAGGACCAATGAATGAAGATGAGGTGCAAAGGTTGGATTATTCATGAATAATCAAAAGGTGGGATTATTGAAAGCAGACCGCTGAAAGGTTGGATTATTAGTTTCCATTTTCCCAAAAAAAAATCGTTTATATTTAATTGTTGAATGAAAAAAATACCCTTCTTTAAAATATATTCATTTTGCATTAATTTCGTCTAATTAAAATTAATGCACTTTATATTGCCGTTACTGCACCACATTACTACACATCCGGTAATATTCACTGCACTTCTGCCAAAATTAATTTTGTTCTCATTCACTCTATGAATTTTTTTATAGTTTTTATTTTTTATTTTTTAGATTTAATAATTTCATTATATTGGGTTTCATGGCGAAATTATTGATCATAGTCATTGCACAACAAATTTCTCAATGCATTCAATTCACTGCCATGTACAATACGTGGAATTATTTATTGCGATATTCACTGTCATACTCAACACTTATTGTTCACTGCCAATTTTCAATGCCCATATTCACCGCTAATCCCAATCACAACGACAATACGTGTATCTATTGTCTCAATAACAACAATAATCAAAACCTTAGTTATAACAACGAGGAAAAACAAATACATGCACTTCCATCAAATGGAAAATGGCCGACCCAATTAAACAACATTTGCATAATTTAAAGGAGTTACACTTCCATCAAATGGAGGTTTATATCTTCCAGAATATAGAGGGATTAATCCCAGGGACAACCCTGTCCCCTCCTTCGCTAATCTCACGGCTTCACCATCGCCTTTGACATTAGAAGACACATTAAAACCAAGAAAAGAGATGATCGGTGAACCTAATGGAGAAGGAAGAAGCAATAACCGAAAAAGGCTCATGAGTGCATATTGAGACTTCCGTTTAGGAAAATATGAGACTGAGCAGAGCCGCCGGTCGGAGGGAATCCAGCGGCAGAGGAAGAGTGTTCGCCCAAACATTTGGTAGTGTTGTGATGGGCTTCTTGCCGGTCTAGTGTCTTGCTGCTACTTGCCGTAGGCAATACACGCAGATGGAAACTATGCAAGCAGATGGAGGCGATGATAGAATGAGGGAGAACATTAGGGTTTATTAATAAAAAGTTAAGAGCATTTTAGGCTGTATAAAATATTTATTTATTAAAGTATTATTTAAATATTATCAAATAGGTATTATTTGGGGAAAAAAACTTGTATGGTCATATATTGAGAAAGAGGACTAGTTTTAGTCACACGTATGATAATTTTCTCTACATTTTTTTCCTACATAAAAACCTCTAAAGTCAAACCATGAAATGAATTTCAGGAAGTATATGTTAAAATTAATTACCTCTAATAATTATCTCCAAAAAGTATCTATTTAGAGCGGGATGGGGGTTTAGAGATCTTTTGTTTCACTACATTTCCTTAACCTTTGATTTCAAAACAACTCCATAAGATTTCACAATTAAAAAAGAAACCCACTGCATCGTATAGGAAGATGCAGAAATTGTATAAAAATGATAAAAAAAAGTAAAGAACCAGCGAAAATCTGAGTGGCAGAATAGGCGTATAGGTCAAAGAGTAAGCACTCTAAATGATTCCCATCTTCTTACCTACCTACCTCGATTTGCAGGCAAAACAGAATTTGGAAAACAAGAGCACATTTATTTTCCTATCAAAATCGCAAATCATTATACTCCGTATATAAAAGGATGGGGAAAACAGGTACGAATTTGAGATACTCTCACGCGTCCTGTGCTTTTAAAGAGTTGAAGGGTCAAACTAATTTCTTGTCCAAAAATGTTAATCCCTAACTACAACACCACTCAAGCCCGACTAGAGAGAGCATAAATACGTGAGATTATAAATCAGGGTGACTCAATGATGGCAGTACGTCCGGTAGACCAAATACTCATGCGCATCAGAAGCCCATCCTAACATATATGAACATATATGAGTTTCCATTATTCTTGGTCATTGTCTAAACTTTCCCACCACTTTGTCGTACCAGATGGAGTTGTGATTTTCATCATAACCGCTTTTAAGTATTAAATTAAAGTATTAGTATGATTTAACTAGAATTTCCCGTGCCTACTTGACTACTGTTCCCGTTTCTGTCCCGTTGCTACTTAGCTTAGTCATGTCCCTAGCCACGTCCTCCCCTACCTATTACGGAGTATATAAGAGTATAGGAAAATAAGAATCGGGTGTACACAAAATGTGTACATTGCCTGTGTACACAGGCAATTAGAGAGGGTTGACATCAAATCTTGCTTCTTTTTAAACGAATTGTCTGTGCACACAGACAACTAGATGAGGTTTTGTATACACTTTGTGTACAACTCTTGTAAGTAAGATTTTTTCTTGAAAATCTGGCATGCATGGAAATGTGTGAGGTAATTTGTAGACTGGCAGAGGAATTCCTCCATCAATTAATTGATACACATGCATGCATATTTACTTCGTAGAGCAGCTTACAAGTGAATCCATTTACTACGCTCTAACTACCCTTTCAGCTAGTTTCACCTCTCTCTATGTATGTATTAAATCTGGCCTCTACTCTCCATCTTTCCTCCGGAATTCAATCCCTAGCTACAAGAAAAAAATATATACTAGACTAGAAAAAGGTGAAAATAAATTAAAGAAAGTTGAGTAATTTGAAAATGGCAGCGGGTCGTCTAAGGTTGGTGTTTTGTGGGGTTGTTTTGACGTTTTTGGTGATTAACAATGGCGGCGCAATGGGTGAAGATGGAAACGGGAGGAGAGCTTTGGTTCCAGCGATGTTCGTGTTTGGCGACTCTTTGATTGATAATGGCAACAACAATAATCTGCCTTCTTTCGCAAAGGCTAACTACTTCCCATATGGGATTGATTTTGATGCTGGTCCGACCGGCCGGTTCTCTAATGGTTTTACCATGGTGGATGAGATCGGTACATACGTACTTGCCTCCATTCTAGATTTTAAAAGAAATTATCCATCATATATAGGAGTTGAATATAATTTTGTTTTCTCCCTATGAAAGAAATTATTAATTCCTTATACGGAGTATATAAAAGAATCAAAACAATTCTTCGTTTGAGATTTTAAGAGTGAATGAATCTAATTATTCTAAATTTCTAGCTAGGGTCTTTTTTAATCTCATTGTATAGCTGGTCCCACATAGGATCTTTTTTAATTTCATTGTATCTTTGGTAGTACCTCTGTTCTCCTAATATATATTGAACGGAAGAGAGTGATATGATTTTTAAGAAAATTAAGTGGTTGGTAATGAGTTTATAAAGTGAGAATAAAATAAGAATGAATTAGCCACACAAATGTTATCAAATACTTCCTCCGTTCTTAAATAAATGCAACGGTCAACATTTCACACTTGCCGAGAAACAACTTTGACCATTAATATAAATGATTTTGTATTAGTAAAAAATTAAAAAAATTAGATTATGAAAATTTACAATGAGACAAGTTTAACAATATTTTTTGCATAAAATAATATTATTACATTAATAAATAAAACGTAGTCAAAGTAGAACATGTAAATAGTGTAAAAGTCAAAGTGTTGCATTTATTTAACAACTGAGGTAGTATGGTATAAGACAATAATAGGGGACGACATAAAAAAATAGAAAAAAGGAAAAAATGAGACAAATGTATGTTATATACATTATTCTTGATTTCTAATTTTTTTTTTGCGAGTATGATTTCTAATTACTTGTATTTCGTATTTATTACGACGTAGTATATTATTTGATTTTTACATATATTTACGTTCATCCATTTTAACAAGATAGATCAATAGTATGGCTCATTTTGTCACTGCAAAAATATCAACATATTCACTGGACACTGGAAATAGAATAACACTATGAGTACAATGTGAGCGCCAAATTGAGAACATATAATTATCCCCCAGTAACACATTGTATTCATATCATTAAGAACTTCATTAACACTTCTATTAAAGTACACAAACCAAATTCAAACATTGTAAAAAATTAGACTCGAATCAAAAAATAAATTGCGTGGACCAACATCGTGAAGTTGAAGCCCATTTTGGGAATTTAATAGTTACTACTTACTACTCCGGCAGTTATTGAAACTTGAAAGCACTATTATTTACGGAGTATTAATACTATTTTAGTGGTATATTTGTCAAAGTTGATTATTTTCAAAATGCAACTTTTATTCCACTTGAATTGGGACCCAATCGTAAAACGAGGCGTTCTTATATACGGAGTACGTAATTACTAATAGTTCTTTAAACGGATGAGAAAATAAGCTAGCTCTTTAATTTTGTTTAAAATAAATTAAGCTGACTAATTTTCGTTCAGGTTGACGGGTAGAAAAGAAAATAATGATGCCGATAAACATAACTTGGTGAATCTATTGTGTAAAATAATACTCCGTAGAAGGATTTGCATGTTTCACTTCTAATGTATATACTACAATGAGGCAAGTGTCAGATGTTGATTTTATTACTACGGAGTATTAAACCTTGTTACCTTAAAATGGTGAAGAAGGATTACTATTCACATTTGATTAACTAATCACATATATGTGCATATCCGGCCAGCTCAATTACTTGGACTGCCATTGATACCGCCATACTCGGAAGTTTCCGGCAATAGAGATCGGATGCGCTTCGGAGTAAATTATGCCTCTGCTGCCGCCGGTATACTTGACATCACCGGTAGAAATTTTGTAAGTACCAGTACGCGTCCCCTTGGTAAATTCAATTTATTGTAAAAAATGGTTAAATAATTCACACATTTTTTGTTCGTAGGAAGACTGTTTTTTACATTTATTACAAGACTTTGGCTACTGATAAAATAACAGTTAGTATGGTAAAACTTATAGAAGTTCATAATTTGAATACATATGTAGTGAATAAATATGTTTCAAAGTATTCTTCTCAATTTCCCTGTAAGTGCTTTAGGAATATGTTTTTGGTGTGCAAAACGTAACCTTCCAAAAAAAAAAGATCAAGAAAAAATATTAGAAAATGGCACAAGTTGTTCCTCTAGCCTTTATAAAATATAAAAAGGACTAGTTTTCAATTTTCTTCAAAATTAAAGTATTACTAACCTTTATTTAATTCATTATATTCCACTTGAAACCTATAAATAATTCACAAGCACTGTCGCAAGATACTCGTACGTATTTGTAGCCGATGTACTATAACGAATTTTTTTCAAATACTAAAATAATACTCCGTATGACTCGCCTAAAGCAGTGTTTGCTAACACTTAAAAAAAGCACTTGTGAGCTTTTAACTTAAATAAAGCAGAAAATAGTGTTTGCAATCACCTGATTCTACTTAAAAAAAAGTACTTTGAAGCCAAAAGCTGGAAGTTGGAGTTGGGGTGCTTTTAACTGCTTATTGTTTTTTTTGTAAATAATTCAAACTTTTAGGATAGTTATAATGGAACATTTATTTAGCTTGGACCACAGATACCCTCATCTCCTTCGGTACTTCTTCATCCCCTACTCCATAATTAACTCCCGTTTAGCTCCTCACCTGCTCATTCCATACATATATAATTATACACATATATCATTATATACATATATAATTATATATAATTAATTATATATATATATATATATATATATATATATATATAGGGAGCGGATCAGGTGAGAAGTGCTCTTAGGCTGAGAACTGCGAAGTTAAACTTATAGACCAAATATATGAACTTTTAACCAATAAATCATAACTTATAGACTCCTCGAAAATAATTACCAAAATGCCACCGCAAAAAAATAACTACGGAAATCTGGAAAAAATTTGACGCGGTGGCATTTTCGTAATTATTATGGAGAGCTTTATAAGTTATGATTTATTGGTTATAAGTTCCTATATTTAGCCTATAAGTTTACTGTGTTGTAAGATGAGATGCAAATCCAAAGGCTGAGATTACTTCTCACTTCTCATTTTAAGGGACACTTCTCACTTGATCTTTTCCCTATATATATATATATGTATATAGTTTTATTAATTAACAAGAAGCCAGAAGGATGGAAGGAGAGCGCAAGGCCCCATGCGCTCTGAGGTTGCCGTGAACAGGATCACCGCCACAGCTTAACTTCCAGATCTGTTGAGGCAGCCCGTCCTATATGGCTTCCATGTCTTTTGGGATAGATCGTTGTGATGTCTTTCAACAGATGAAGGAATTGCAAGAAGCAATTTCGAACAAAAGAGGAAGCAATTGCAGATTTGCAGGGAGGAATATATGCTACCTTATACGACTTTCTATTTTTTCAATTGAAAGAAGCAATTGCACCCTTGCAGGAGAGATGGTGCCTCATACTTCCTGCTTTGAAAGACAAGATTGGCTTTGACAAAATATTCCATTAAAAATCACTTTTTTACCAAACACTTCCACTTTAACTTTTTCATCTTAATCACTTCTATTCCCAAACACTACCTACTTCCACTAAAAAATCACTTTTAAAAAGCACAAGCAATCGCAAACACTCCCTAAATAAAAGTATCATGTTCCACGGAACGATAATGGAACATAACTCGAAAACGTGTACACAGGCAACTAGGTAATGAATATAACAAAATGGTACTCCCTCCGTCCCATTTTACCTGTCATACTTTCCTTTTTTGGTTGTCCCAAAACAAGTGTCTACTTTCCCTTTATGGAATGAAATATGTGGTTTACATCATTTTACTTTATTATACTCAAACCTCAACCACAACTTTTACTTTTTCAACCATTTCATTAATAACTGTGCCAAGTCAAACTAAGACACATAAAATGGGACGGAGGTAGTACAAAAAAGTGTACAAGTAACATGACTCAATAAAAATAGAAAGAACTTGAAATTATACATATTCATACTCATATTTTTGAACACCAATTTAATTTTGCCATGTATTTAGGAAAATTTCCCTTATTGTTGTGACACTGATAATACTTGGTATCCATACCTATTGTATAAATAAATGTGAATATTGTACAAAAAATTGGATGTATGTATGTCAGGTGGGACGGATTCCATTCAACGAGCAAATACGGAACTTTGAGAGCACGCTGGATGTAATGACAGGCAGCCTTGGAGCTCCAGACATGGCACAGGCCCTGTCCCAATGCATTTTCTTCATCGGAATGGGCAGCAACGACTACCTCAACAATTATCTCCTCCCCAACTATCCCACCAAGAACCAATTCAACCCCCAGCAGTACGCCGATCTCTTGACCCACCAGTACTCTCAACAGCTCACGGTAGGTACACTCCTCATCTATGTTACAAGGAAATGCGAAAATCACGAGGAAACGGGAAACATCAAACTTTTGCTCAAATAACGCGCTTGTTTATGGAGTTTTCAAAAAGTTTCTGTAGAGTCTGCGAAACAGAAACTCACTCTTTCTCGAGAGTTTCTGTGCATGCTACATAGCTCAGCTTTTTATTGTAGTGAAGTTTTTGAATCTGGTCTAGCCTTTTCAGACTTTAGGTACATAGCCAATGTATGTCCATATCTACTTAAATCTCGTCGAATCAATTTAAATATGATGTGAATTTTATTGTTATAATGCAGAGGTTATACAATCTCGGAGCGCGAAAATTCGTGATTGCGGGGCTGGGAGTGATGGGATGCATCCCGAGCATCCTCGCCCAGAGTGAGACAGGAGAGTGCTCGGAACCCGTGAACCAGCTCACTCTTCCCTTCATCTCCAACGTGAAGACAATGCTCAACGGCCTGAACACGAACCTGCCCGGTTCGAGATTCATTTACATCGACACTCGAAACCTGTTCCAGGATCTGCTGAGGAACTACCAGCGCTACGGGTTCAGCGTGATAAACAGCGGGTGCTGCGGGATCGGGAGGAACAGCGGGCAGATTACGTGTTTGCCGTACCAGACGCCGTGTGCTCACAGGGATCAGTATGTGTTCTGGGATGCATTTCACCCCACCTCAGCAGTCAACATCTTGTTTGCCAACAGGGCTTTCAGTGGCGGAACTGATGTTGTTTACCCCATAAACATCCAGCAACTTACCACCCTTTGAGCTACTCTAAGCTGGCTGCTTATTACATTACCTTTACACTAATCTTCACATGTAGTATCCAGTCCACGCCAGGCCAAGCCACAACTTTTAAATCTACCTTTAATTTGCCACCTAGCTGATGTGTGAAGTCGATCTCATTCAACTCTTATAGTAGTTGTCCTTATCTCCTTGTTTGATTTAAAAAGATTATATAAGAACATTAAATAATGACACTCGCTTTCTTGTTTAGAACTTTAAAATTCGGGAGAGATACTTGGGGTTTTTAAATTCCTCAAGCTCGGGATTTTTAAAATGATACAACTAATTAAATGTTACTTCAACCTAGGCCTGGGACCGGTTCGGTTCCTAGGTGAAATATGTGGAACCGTTTGAAAATATGAAATTTTACTAACGGTTCGGTTCTTACAAATTATTTTGTAGAACCGATAAGGAACCAAACCGTTCTTAACGGTTCGGTTCTTGTCATTTAACGGTTCCTAGTATTTAAAAAAAATCTTACAAATCACGGTTAAATTTGTGTCAAAAATACATTCAACGCTTGAAATTACAATACAAATATGTTGAATTTCATTTCAAACCTCAAAAGTTGAGTTTAAAAGATAAATACATAACAAACTGCAAATTTTAGAAAACAAAAAAAAACAAGATATTCGGTAAAGAAGCCCAATAAAACCAGTTAAATGAAAACTAATTTCAAATAGTTAAATAACTAAACTAAAATAGTGAATGTAATATGAAAATAAATAAGTAAATATACATTAAAATACATATACTAATAAGAAATATATATAATTTTAATTATTATATATAACGGTTCTTTAACGGTTCCACGTACATATTTTTTACAGGAACCGAGAACCGAACCGTTAATAAAAAGTAGGAACCGAACCATTAACAAATAACTAATAAATTTTGGAACCGAACCGAACCGGGTCATAACGGTTCGGTCCGGTTCGGTTCTCCGGTTCTTGGTTCCAGAGTCCCAGCCCTACTTCAACCTATTTTAAAAGGAATACAAATTCAACTATTTGAGTTTATTATACCTATAATGTGATTTTAATTATAATTCCTCCATAATTGTTTTTCTAATTTGTAATCCTTTGCCCTTGGTAATGCTAAATCTCAAAGTCTTCCATCCCCTAAACTCCCAAACGTACCATAAGAATTAACAAGAGTCACTGTGACATAATATACATGTATCTTTTCTAATCTTTAGCCCTTGTACACTCAAAACTCATCATTGTTGATCACGAGGATAAACATACCTTAGGCCTAGCTATTAATGGATTTGGCTGGATGGATCCAGAAATATAGATTGCAATGAGTACAAGAGTGAGCATCGTGAGAACAATGAATTATGGACATGGATTATATATCTGGCTTTGAGCTTACACATATCCTCGATTTTGTGGATTATGGCCACCAATAAAGTATCTTGGATTCCGTTGTCCCCTCATAAGATTTCGATTGCTCGGTATGTCCCCACTTGATAACAATATCATCTCTTATCGGGTCATATATACGGATTATCATTTCCCTTTGTTGTGTTCTCTATATAGGGAAGAATGCAAAGGTTGCTTGGGCCGGTATTTTCTGTAAGGTGTCAGAGACTGTATAATCAAGCCCTATCCGTCAATCCAACTCGACGAGGAGTTGGACGGGGGTTGACTAACAAGTTTTCCGTACAATTCCGTACAGATGGGCCGTCCGGATTTTGTACAGTTGGGTCGTACGGATTATTTTTTCTTTATTTTTGGCCGAGCTTCGTAGTTGGCTTAGGGGTAGGTTTTACTCTCTATAAATACAAGCTCTCTCCCTTTGTAATCCTTTGGATCCGAAAATAGTAATAATATTCCTGGCTTGGTAGCGAACCGGGTTACCAAATTTTGTGTGTTCTTTAATTATTGTTCGTGTTGCGTAAATTAATTCCCAACATTTTCACCTCAATGATGATTACAGTTTACAGTGGTAAACGAATTGAATAATTTAATTTATGACTCTAAGATTTAGAACGCTGCTCTCCTTGCACATACTTTATGAAATATACATGCCAAAGCTAATACCCTTTTGTTAGGTGGGTTAATTCGGTCTATCTTCGGGGCCGTGATGTGTGAGGGTTTACTCTCCGGGAGATTTCAACAAGTAGGACATAATCATACTACCTCCGTCCCAAAAAACTTTGCCAATTTTAAAACTTTGATCGACTATATCTTTTTATTGAAAATTAATTATAACATAAGAATTATATAAAAATGTTCTTTGTTAAAAGTACTTTCATAAAAGTATAAAATTTCTAACTTCCATTATATTATACTAATTTTCTCAAATTAAGACTACATATTAGCCTAAAACTTAAGTACACCTGCTTTGACCAAGTTGCCCTTCCTTTTAAATTATCCCTGCACACAAACAAACTCCATCGATCGCCGACCCCAAAATCAATTGCCGCTTCGATTTCTCTATCGATGAAAGCTCCAACATCCCATCTTTATCTTCCCCATCAATTTACAAAGGGCTTCACCATCTTCAACGTTCCTTGTCGGGTAGTTCAACCTCCAGCACAGCTTCTATCGCCGGTTTCGTTCGCCTCCACTGCCGCCGCCTCTCTTCGCCGGATTCGCCTCTACGGTCGCCGGAGCAGGTAACTCCTCCTCCTCCTCCTCCTTCTTTTCTGATTTTGGATATTGATTTTGCCAATTTCGAACTTCTATATCATATTTTAACAAGGCCACCAGGTACTTTGCAGAACTTTTGAAGAAACCAGATCCAAAATCGAACTTGCAAACACTAGACAATACATAAACAATAAGTAGTCATTAAACAGACAATAAATTCTAACAATAGCTCAATAGCAGACAATACATAGACAGTAAGTAGTCATTAAACAGATAATAAGTAATTCTTCAATTTAGAATTTGGAAAGTTAAACAAATTAAGTGATGAGAAGGATCTAAAAACAAAAGGAAGAAAACAGAGCACAAGGAGATGAGACGTAAGAGGAGAAGAAGAAAAATGAAGAAGAGAAGATAAAGAAGAAGATGATGAATCAATTACCTCATATCCCTCTGAAGTGGCGACCGTTAATCGGAGAAAAAAGGAGGCGCTGCTGGAGATAGAACCGGCGAACAGAGGTGGCCGGAGTGAAGGAAGGATTGGGCGGCGGAGATGGAGGAATAGCTGGACGGCGGAGATGGAGGAATAGCTAGACGGCGGAGATGGAGGAGGAACCTATCGACAAAGCAGATATGAGCTGGAGAGGCTCTAATGAAGACAACTGTGAAGTCTTCCCTGAAGCTCTGATGGAGATTAGAACCGTGGCCTGTCCATGTCTGAGCTTGAGCAAGGAGATTAGATGGGGAAGCACGATGGAGCGTGAAGCTTCCGATCGTAAACGGGCATGTCATCTTTAATTTGGGGGAAATTTAATAAATATATAAAAGGGTAAAAGAGGGAATTCAAAACTAAGTTTACTAAAATAGAACAAAATAAGTGGCACGTATGGAAGAAACAATTCTGGGTCCTCTTTTTGTAAAACTGGTATGAATTGATCCTATACGGAGCAATTTTCTCTTACTCCCCACCGGCCCTAGAGATTCTCATTTAGTGAAGCTAGCAATTTTGGCGCTCAATAATTAAGGAGGATCAAATTGCCATTCATTTAAATGGACGTATAGATATAATAGGATCCTTGAAAAATATGAGTCAGTGGGAAGCTTTCTCGTACGAAATTTATGATTTTAATTTATGATTTGCTTCTTACTATGGGCACTAAATGGACTTGGATGACTTTCATTTGTCCTCCCGAATTAAGTTCTCTTTTATTATTTGGTTGGCCTTTAGGAATCAGTTGTCTATTTTGACAATCTTGATTAATTAAACTTGGATAGTGCTTGGATCATTTGTAAGTGAGAGACTCAATCGGTACCACACCTGTTTTTTCTTTGTCCTTTCAATTGCTTATATCGTGGGAGCAGAGCGTCCATGATGAGCATCATACTATCACACCTAAAATGACATTGTTCAAATTTAAATTTTAGTTAAAAACCCGTGAACAGTGAATATATTTTTGTGTCAACATCAAAACTATATTACGTGATCTAAATCCCGTGCATGGAAATGTGACTTGCGTTAGTACAAATGTAATCTCGTCGTAACTTTAAATGTAAACTCTTGAGAAGAAAAAACCTAGATTGTTTTGAAGATGAAGAAGAACGAAATTGTGGTCAGATTCATAATAATTTGATAAAAGCTAGAGAAGAAGATAATTGAAGAAAAAAAGAAAGAAAATGTCAGAGGAATCGATAGTGATAAAGAAGATGGCATGACGGATTGGTCAATTAGATGAACGATGCTTCGGTGATGAAGAAGATTATTTTTAGAATTTTAAATATAAAACTATACTGCACAGAGATCAACCTAGGCGCTTGCCTAGGCCGTAACCCCTAGACGATGTCCGGATGCCTCGATTTTGATGTAATGGACATGAAAATTGGTCGGACGATTAGGCGGACTAGGCGGTACAGATTAGAAATAGATTAGAAATGTTCCTGACCCAACTCATTTAATCTAGACCATTGGATTGTACATGCAACGTGCATGTACATTAGATGATATTGATATGTACAAAATAAAAATTTAAACTCAAGTGTGCATTAGATGGAACTGAAATGTGCAGAACAAAAGGTTCAAAAATAGCATCACGTCGTACCTTTTATTTTGCACATTTCAGTTTTACCTAGTGCACATTACAATTTCATCTAATGCACAATTCAGCTTCACATAATGTCACTGTATATAGTACAATAGTACCCTTTGTGTTTCACATTACAATTTCACCTAATGCACATTATAGTTTAATTCAATGCACATTGAATTTCACTTAAACCAAATCTAACGGTCTAGATTCGTTCTCATTTCTCTCCTAAAATCATGCTCTTATTTGAACCAATATATGTGTGTGTGTGTGTGTGTGTGTGTGTGTGTGTGTGTGTGTGTGTGTGTGTATTAGGGAAGAGTTCAAATAAAAAGTGGTCTTCCCGTGCGAAGTGCGGTTCCAATGAGACCGATGCTTAACGTGAGAACGTGAGAACACTCACATTTACATCAATCTGGTGCACTATGAAACTATTTTACTGCACATTTTCAATTTGCTCGAGTTAAGCTTATATTAAATAAACACGGTGGCATTTTGGTAAATATTGTGAAAATGTGAAGCACTATTCTCATTTGATCTTTATTCTCTCTCTCTCTCTCTATATATATATATAGAGAGAGAGAGAGAGAATAAAGATCAATATTTTCACACTTTATATACATATAAAATGCAGTTAACTTCCAAAAATTATTTGACTGCCTTCCCGATGGAAGTTTTAGCTGAAATTTGGTATGGGTAAACTAGACTTGATGAAGAACATGCTCAAAAAATTTCATTAAAAAATTCCACCGGGAATGGGCCCAAACGCCGAGGTCCGTACGGAGGTCCGTTTTTGGAGGTCCTGACATGAACTTTCCTCTCTCTCTCTCTCTCTCTCTCTCTATATATATATATATATATATATATATATATATAGGGGGCGGTTCCGGTGCAAACCATGCTTCCGGTGCTAACCTACAAACCAATACCATCCCTTGGATTTGAAATAATGGACGGCTGATGAAATATGGGATTCATTACTAAAACGGTGAAGACACACGCATGAGATAAATTCGGATAACTATGTTTTTTAGTTTTACGCATTTTAAAAGGTCACAATGGTAATTGAAAAGTAGAAGTGGCCGGCAAGTCTAGTTATTTATGGAAATAATTTAATAACTAAATCCCAGGATTAAACAAATGAGCACCATACGGAAGGCAATCCCAAAATTTCAGCTAACCCTCCACTGAAATTCCAACCACCCATGTTTAGCAAATTAAAAAAAAGGAAAGATGCAAGGATTAACGTTGGAATTTTTAGCCATCAACGAAACTTGCAATAACAATCCAATTATTCTTTATTTTGGGAATATTCACTTGTCACTTTTGAAAATTGTTCAAAATTTCACAAAAAGTAAATACACAATTAAATATGAGGGAATAATTCAATTCTTAATTAACCTTTTATTTTTTAAACTTAAAATATTGATGTTATGGAAATTGCATTATATATTGATAACATGTGCATAGTTTATATTATAACTTCTAACACATTAAATTTGTAAGAACTTAAAACATGTAAGAAGTGTGTGCATATTAAAGTTACATAATGTGCATAATAAGATCAATGGATGTGCATATTATGTTTACGAGATATGCATTATATATTTCTAATATTTTCATAACTTATATTAGAACTATATAGTCATAAATATGTTAACGTTGCATTATAGTAGTTCATGTCTTGCATTTTATCATTATATCATACGTTGCATCTTTCCGTTGAGGCATCTGCATTTAATAGTTTCATATGTTGCATCTTATCATTATAACATGTTCATTTTAGAAGTTCATATATTATATTTTAGTATGATGAAATGTGCGCTTTAATACTTCATACTGGTATAGTACATCTCATCGCTATGACATATGCATTTTAGTAATTCATATGTTGCATTTTATGAATATGCATGTGCATTTAGAAGTTAATACAATGCATATTAGTAAGATGGTGTGTGCATTTTAGAAGTTCGTACAGTGCATTTTAGTAACATAACATATGCATTTTAAAAGATCATATTCTGCATCTTATCATTATGACTTTCCATATGCACTTTGGAAATTCATACTGCATCTTATCATTATGGCAGCTGCATTATATACTCAACTCACATGCATACTAAATTCATGAAATTACATAATGCATAATACATGACAATGTAAGAACATAATAAATGTTTCATGCAAATGAAGCACTTAAACATTTTTATTTTTGCATAAACATGAACTCAATGAATGTAATGAATACAAAAATTAAAACGTTAAATATAATAAATCTCATAAAGGAAAAAAATGTTTTTCTGGCATGCACACCAGATTTCATTGTGATGGAGATTAGACACAATTCAAAACATTAAAATCTGATTAAACTCGTAAAGAACAAAAAGCAATTTTCCGACATGCAAGATATCATAGGGATGGAGATAGACATGGAGATGAAGATGAATTTTAAAAAAAAATCACGAAAGTAGGGTTGAGTATCAGAATCCATGTCATCCCCTGTTAATGGCGGCAAAGAAGTTATACCCAGCAAATTTTATGACGAAGAAGAAATAAAATTCCATATGGAAATGAAATATAGCTTCATTCGTGAAGAAGGAAGAAAGGAAATAAGAGTGAAGAAAATATGGAAAGAGGTTAAAAGAAAGAGATCGTGGTTTTTCTCTCTCCAGAATTAGAACATATCAAAAGTACTTAAAAGCCCCTCAATTAATTAACTTAGGTATAGGCACATAGTAAGGAACGCGCATAAGATCAAATGAGATGGATGACTAGGATTAGGTTTGTAGGTTAGCATATTAAGATGAGTTTGCATTTGATCTGAACATATATATATATATATATATATATATATATATATATATATATATATATATATATATATATATATATATATATATATATATATATATATATATAGGAAAACTTTCCGGTAAGGTTACCTTACCGGAGCCGCCATGCGGCCTCCACGTTTTGAGGGCCTTCCTGGTGGAATTTTTCGATGAATTTTTTTGATCATGTTCGTCATCAAGTCTAGTACATCCATACCAAATTTCAACAAAAAATTCAATCGGGAAGGTAGCCAAACGATTTTTGGAAGATAACTGCGTTTTATATGTATATAAAGGGTGCAGTTATTTTCCAAAAATCATTTGACTGTCTTTCCGATTGAATTGTTTGCTGAAATTTGGTATGGATGTACTAGACTTGATGAAGAACATGCTCAAAACATTTCATCAAAAAATTTCACCGGGAAGGCCCTCAAAACGTGGAGGCCGCACGGAGGCCCCGGTAAGGCATACTACCTTACCGGAAGAGTTCCATATATATATATATATATATATATATATATATATATATATATATATATATATATATATATAATGTATACGGACATTTTAGACCCTGAAAAATACCAGCCTGGCCTCTTATTTTAATTATTTAAAAGATTATGAATTTATTTGTTATGACAATTTTACTACAAAAACATTACATTTAATTATTATATCACCTCTGTTCTTAAATAGAAAATGCTAAATTTGTCTCATTTTAAATTTTCAAATCTGATTTTAAAAAAAATTACTAATAAGGATGATATATATCAATGGACAAAGTTGTGCATTAGCAAACATGAAAATGAAAACGTTGCGAACTCTAATTTGGCGATAAGACTAAATAGCTGAAAATAAAAATGTCCAAACTCTTAAATTTCAGAATTGAGGACACCTGAAATTTATCAAAAATTTTAAATCCCTCGAATTTCATAATGATAACATTGACACTTTTTGTCTTCAAGAAAATTAAATAAATAAAATTAAATACATACTATATATGGCCATTGTAGTATATATGGCCAATGTTAGTCAAATACATTTAGGAAACACATTAATTATTTAATCATTAATTATCTCATAAGTTTTACACGTTTTTACTAACATATTACCAATAAGAAATTTATGGACAAAAATGTGACTATAAATTAGTATTCATAAGTTTTATAGTCACTATGGTGTAACATTTGTATACAATTATAGTCACTAAAGTTACCAAGTCATATTTTGTCAACTTTTATTTATTTATATTTTGGTTAAATATTTGTTTAAGTTTATATGCTGATTTGTGATGTTTTTAATGGGACAGTCTCAAAAGAAACTAAGTTATACTAGACTAGATCAAATCAGACTTTGGTAGACCACATCAGATCAAATGAGATCTGGTCATATATATACCTTACTACACTTCAACAATTATAAATAGACATAGAGATTAGTTGAGATCAGACAAGACAATAGTAGTACACAATTCAATGATTGCTATAGACCTCTTGTATGAAGCAAAGTAAAAATGTGTTTCTTATATTTATTTTTATTTTTTTATTATAAAGATATATGCTACTACTATACGTAGTATGCTATTATGTATTATTTGAATACCTATAATGAACCAATCACTCTTCAAGTATGCATCAACTTGTACACAACATTTTATACGCTGGTCAAATTATCTATGCAAAAACAATTTTACCGTTGTTTTGTAAAGAAAATCATTTTTCGCACTAATAAAAACTTGTAAAATGTCGTGTACAACTTGCCGTGTACGAATAGCATTTTTGATAATAAATACCCTATGATAAAAGTCAAAGTTTTTGTAATCCTGTTTAGATTCTTGGGTTAAACTTCACTATGGGTTAGTCCATCAATGATCCATCGCTCAAAGTCAACATAATGATTTGTGACAGGTAATATTATGAGAATATGACATGCATGTCCGTTACAAACCCAGGTAAATTAAAGCAGTCAAATGTTTTGATCATTCATATTCACATTGTACGATAGTATATGCTTCAATCTATCTGATCTTTCATATTGTATAAATTAAGGTCCAACCTTCTCTTCCTTCCATCACCATACCTTATCCCAAAAATCCCAACGAAATGGCACTGTGCAAATTTTCTACGCTGTTTATAATGTTGTTGAGTATTGCTGGTAGTCCAGTGTTAGGAAGAGTTGTGAAAGGAAATGAGGTCGTAGTTGAAGTGGCCACAACTCCGACTCCGGCGATGGGCGGTGCCGGAAGAGGGTTGGTGCCAGCCATGTTTATATTCGGAGACTCACTGGTTGATAATGGAAATAACAACAATCTGTTTTCACTTGCGAAGGCCAATTACCCTCCTTATGGCATTGATTTCAATCAAGGTCCCACTGGTCGCTTCTCTAATGGTTATACCATTGTTGATGAAATTGGTACAACTCTCGACTATATATACCCATTAATTAGAATTTCAATTTTGTTTATTGCTATTTAGGACTTGTTCACTATACAGATCATTTTTGAGTTTTGTTGTTGTTGTTGTTGTTGTTTTGAGTCTTGTTGTTATTGTTGTTGTCGTTATTGTTGTTGCTGTGTTTTGTGATTTTGATAGTTGTAAGATATAATGTACCCTCTTTTTTTTTTGAGAATTTGAAAGTTTTAAAATGCACACTGAAACTTCCGCTTTACCCTTATAGTTAGATGAGATATTAAATAGTGTTTTTTTAAATGTATATATTCAATCAAAATTTTAACCATTTCAACTTATTTCGCCATTTCAGTCACACAACTTAAATGTGTAACGCCATTTCTTTAAAATTTACACTACAAACAAGATCAACAATCATGTCAAATTGATTACCAATCTATGCTGATTTACTTGTGAATAATGAATTTCAATATTCAAGTTATCAACCTAATTATTTTGTATGACCTAATTTTATGTTTCAAGCTCCTGACATACTTGAACACAAGATTTGCGATTGATTGAGATTTTATATAGTTTCTAAACAAAAAAGTTTAAAGATTATTAATTTGAACTTGTGCGGGAATCTGTTATACAAAATAAGACGTATACAAGTACAAATGGGACATATGTACTACCTTTGTTTTAGTGATTTTCTTATTTTACTTTTTGACTATGCTTTGTAGCCTATTATAACTGTTTGTGAAATGTCAACATTCTTGATGGAGAAAAGTTTTGAACAAGTAATTATAGGCCTAAAAACCACAAGGTACTTAGCGTGCCGATATATTTAAAAATGACTGTATTTAACCCATGTATTCATGGTAATGTATAGGTGAATTGCTAGGACTACCATTTGCCCCGGCATTCTCTGATCCTCCCACTATCGACCAAATGCGTTTTGGAGTTAACTACGCCTCCGCTGCTGCTGGCATTCTAGACATAACCGGCGAACACTTTGTAAGCCCTCAACTTTTCTCAATTTACGCAGCGTTACATTCTAATAACAAAATTTATGGCTTGGCTACCACCAATAAATTTGACTGTTAATTTTTTTTTATAGATGATATTAGAGCATCAACAACTAGAGGGACTAGTTCTTTATAATGTTATAAACACTATTTTTCAATCATGTGGTAATTACTTGGGAAAAAATATAATACTTCTATGTTTCGAATTTCACATTGTTTTAACTCATATTTCATGTTCTTATATTGACACATCACTAATGGAAGACCTTATTTTCACTTCCACAACAATGATGTCAAGTATTATGTAATACATAGTAATACTTCACAAATAAGCCTTAAATTTTCTTGAGAAAACAATTAAAGCCTAGTTTTGTTCAAATAATCAAACTTGTGTGGAGTACTTATAGTTGAGCACTTTCTGGTCTCAACTATAAAATCATACCGACTGGTTCAGATTAGACTCAAATCAATTACATATCAGATTATTCAAGTCTGATCAGCATTGACAATATTTCAATCATGATTAGTTGGGCACGTTTTGTTTTAAAAATTACATATATTATGCAGGTGGAACGTGTTCCGTTCAATGAACAAATCTCAAACTTCGCGAAAACGATAGATATACTATCAGGCAATCTGAGTGCTGATGTGGTGAAAGGGGACATTCCATATTCGGTTTTGTTTGTGGGGATGGGCAGCAATGACTACCTCAACAACTATTTCCTGCCGGGTTACCCTACTAGTATGACCTACAACGCTCAACAATTTGCGGATCTTTTGATTCAGCAATACACCCAGCAACTCACCGTAAGTTAGCACTACTAACTAATCAGCTATAGCTAGTATTTGTTGAAATCACATACATGAATATTGTGAAGTAATAAAGTGGTACAATAAGATCTGGGCTACTTTTCATATGAGGCTGACCTTTCACGATGAAATCCCAGATCTTAACGTGATATGATATGAGAGCCAAAATCGATCCATAGCCATGATGTGGCCTCCCATGGAAAAAAATGATGATGATAAAAAGAATGACAATGATGAACTGGTGGAAAAAATAAATGACAATAACATAGAGTTATACTGTTATTGATAGAGTATATGGCCCAGGAATCCCCGGTCCACATACTCCTACTACCACGAAACAGGGCCAACAAGCCCAGGCGGCCTATATGTGACGACCCAAGCTCTAGGAAGTCCATAGTACATGAAGTATGCCATTAGCACCATTGCCGAGGGCCTGAAACTCAGGGGTACGCCTACTTTTGGGCCAACAACACTACTGGAAATTTCGGTCCCAAACATCCTTCGGCAGTACAACCTTCGACCCTGCGACCGAGGGGGACACCGCTGGCATCTCTGTAGACACACAACCATCGCATATAATGCGGTGTCACATCCAATCACCACATTTAATGCGGTGCCACATGCAGTGCCGGCGCCACCACGGCTGAAATGACTCCCCACCATAGATTAGCTTACACGTGTATATGCATTAAATGTGCCTGACACTTATGGCTGCTATAAATAGCGCCCCTTGGGCAGTTGTAAACCACGACCAATTCATTTATTACATTCGAGTTCTATATCTTACTTATTGCCCTGACTTCTCTCTAGATACCGCTAGTGGTATCCCGATATAGACTATCTATCGGTTATATTAAGATTTGAACTACTCCTTTTACGAGGTTAATCTTTTAGCATGAATCCCAAATTTTCATAAACCAAACCAAACATAACGTACAACTCTTATGAGGCTGACCTTTTGCATGCAGAGACTGTACAATCTTGGAGGTAGGAAATTTGTACTTGCTGGGGTTGGAGCATTGGGGTGCATCCCTACAATGTTGGCCCGGACTGAAAACGGGAAGTGCTTAGATGGTGTGAATGAAGCAATTTCCCCATTTAATGCCAATATGAAGCAGATGATCAACAACTTCAAGTCCACTCTCCCTGACGCTAAGTTTGTCTTCCTTGACACCCAAAATATGTTCCGCAATATCACCGCCAACTCCAAAACATATGGTACGTATCAACTATAATAGTACTACCTCCTGCCCTTAAAATTTGGATGTATAACAGTTCTTCCACGCTTGTATCGGTACCCGATCAATGTGGGTTTTCTCATTTTGACTGGAGAAATATACCAGTTAATTACTGATATGCAATTGTAACCCCTGTGTATTTCATGTATGAAATTTATTGTAATTACTAATTAATATCTTCACCAACGAGCAATTGTACTATGTTTTATGAAATAATATTTTAGGGTTCAATGTTACGGATCGTGGCTGTTGTGGAGTTGGGAAACTAAATGGGCAAGTAACATGCCTGCCTTATGAAGTGCCTTGCACAAACAGAGAAGAGTACATATTTTGGGATGCCTATCACCCCACATCTGCCGTGAATGTATTGCTTGGGAAGATGTCTTTCAATGGAGGTCCTGATCTGGTTTATCCCATCAATATCGAGCAACTTGTCAAGAATGAAGTTTGGCCATTTTAGAAAAAGATGTGAATTTTAATTCTTTTGAATTATTTTCTTGAACCCCTCTTTATTGATATCAAGGACTTGAAAGTTGAGATGTTTAGGAAAATAAAGTTTGGGCTACAAATTCCATTTCAAGTGGTGTTTCATATGACAATTTCACTTTGGGGTTATTTAATATCTCGCCCCTTAAAGTTCTCACAATGATTAAATAAAGCTCTAGAGTAATTTGAGTATGTTAGAGTAGTAATTCGGATGAGTGTATAATATAATGGGGCGATTGATTGTGTTACGTTATAAATGTATTTTTTTAAATATTTGGTGATTATATTGTCATTTAAGAGTAATATCAATAAAAAACAGAGTAATGACAATTTTTTAAAATAGAAATGCGAGCATTTAAATGAGTTGTCCAAAACGAGCAACTGAGAACTTTTGCTTGAGACGGTTGGAATATGTATTACAAAGTATATACTCCGTATTATGGAAGGGGTAGGACAGTGAGGATCTAAGACAATAAATCATGACAAACAACATAGTACAGAGTATAAAAAAGAGCCAATTTGTTTTTGAAATAAAATCTTAAATAACGTCTTTTAAAATTCCAATTTGGAACTCGGTGCAAGCCTAATGATGTTTTTACTCGGACTTTAATTTGTCTCAGACCAGACCAGATCATACCAGACCAGACTTGGATAGTTATAAAAATACAAAGAAACCAAATCAGACCAGACTAGTTCAGACCAGACCAGTAAATTACAGTCCAAGTAAAAACATCCTAAATGGTTGCTTTAAGGCTTAAGAGACGACTCGCCCAAGGAGTAACACAAGTAACTTACAAGTATAAATGATTTTAATTAAAGAGAGAAAATTGCTCTAAATATGATTAAAACTATTCGACCCCTAAATAGAAGTACGTATTTTATATTTTTATATTCCTTAAGAGGGGGACAAACTCTAATTTAGGAAGAGGTGAAAGCGCATTCAAATTATCTGTAAATTATACGTAAACATCTTAATTCACGCACAAATTCTAAAACAATTCATGTGACACTTAATAGTTTGAAAAACAATGTTATTGAAAATACACCACAATTACACTACTATAACGGAAAAGTAAATGAACGAATGAAATAAGAGGAAAAGAGTCACATCAATGATGCATGGGCAATCAAGGGATTAGATTGTATATGGTTTAACTGTTGAAGCCAACTAGAATAGCATCCTTCACAAAGAATATCATGTACATCCTAACCAATGACGGAATAAAATGAAAGATTGAGATAAAAACCATTTTCTTCCTCCACTCCTACTTCAATGTTAGTGCATTGTTGAGTTCGTTGGTGTCCTTCGCGAATGTGTGAACCAATATATCTTGACAGACGAGTGGCCATGTGTGTGTTGTGGGTGAAAATTATCTTAATGAAGCAACAATTTTGTTGGGCTTTGCTTTTCCAAGTACTCCTTCGGTCTCTATTATGTTTGATTTAAGGGAAAACCACACTTTTAATCCTCGAAAGAGTCACTATATTGAAATGTCATACCCATATTTCAGAGATTGTAAATGTCATCTCTCAATTGTCAGTCTTTGAAAGGTGAAATGTACTCCTCACCCACATTGTATATTTCACCCCTCAAAGGACCACATTTACAGTAATCTGAACAATTGAGAGTGACATTTACAAACCAGGGAGCACAAGTCTGATATTTCAATATGACGACTATTTCAGGGACTAAAAGTGCAATTTTCCCTTGATTTAATTTGTATGTAAAATATATACTATGTGATTAAGAATGATTTGCTAGCTTATTAATAAATCTCTATCATTCAAGGGCCCCACTTGAATCCCAAAAGGGAAGGGGTTGTTTCTAACTATAAAAGCAACAATTATTGTCGTGATGTAGCATCACATATTATCATAATTCTGTAATGATTGTTATTATTTATTAATCAAAATTTCCCTCAATAGTAAATATACTCTTGGGGTGAGTCTATAACACACACACACACACACACATATATATATATATATATTGGTTCCTATATTGGTTAAAATAAAAAATGCTTCCTATGTGAAAAATTAGAACTAATCTTAGTCAGTGATGTGAAAAATGGATGGAATCGATCAAGTTAAGAAATGATTTTTTATAAAAATATGCTCATCTAATTATACTCGTCAACGATTCTTGTAGGTATCTTCCACCTTCTTTCTTGGAAGTTGCCAAGAGACACCTTAACATGGAGGCACCTTCTTGGAAAGAGCTCTCCAACAAATAGGTGTGGGAGAAGATATGGAGATACCTTGGAAGCTTGGATGCAACTTCCTCTTGTCTCCAAACTAGTCCTATAAATAGAGTGCTCCATTGTTGTTCATAGTATCAGTTTAAAAAGTGAGAAAAGTGTGTGAAGAGTGAAAATACACTTAGAGTAGAAGTGTATTGGTGAGGATTGGTTTTTTGTAATAGTTGAGTGTGAGAGTTTGCTCCTCCTATTGTAATTCTGTTCTTGATATTGAATAGAAGAATTTTCCAATCCCAACAAGTGGTATCAGAGCGAGGTTGAGTTTCCATACACTGTTTTCTCATTTTCAGATAAATTTCTACAGGTTAGAAAATCGTGATTTTTCAAGTTGCTCGGAATCACGATCTGATCATACCGTTAGATTCGTCTCGGCGAGACGAGAAATCTGGTATTTTTTGGCAATTTTTTGGCCACCGGAAGAGGCCGTACGCGCCGCCCAAACGCCGCCTGAAACTGCCTGCATCATCACTACGTCACCACGCAGCCCACAGGAGGAAGACGAGCCACGTCAGCCGCCATGTCAGTGCCGCGTCATCGCCACGTCAGTCCACATAAGCGTCACGTCAGCCGCGTAAGCCATCCTCTGGGTGCCACGTCAGCGCCACGTCAACGCCACGTCAACGCCAGCTGTGTCCACGTCACCAGCCTGGGTGTCAGCACACTGGGCTGCTGCCTGAACCGGACCGAACCGGTTCGGAGTTGTGGAGGCCGGTTCACCCATTTCCAGCCCGGTTTTGGACGAGGTCAGACTAGTTCCTACCATTTTCGGCCATTCCGGATCCAACGGTGAGCTCTGTTTGTCCAAATTCGGCTCCGAAAATAAGGTACGAGATATTCTGAGCGTTTTATTATGGATAAATCATCATCGGACACCATGATTGCGCTCACTTCCACAAATTACAATATGTGGAAGCCTCGGATGGAGATTTGCTAAATTTGAGGGATTTAGCTGATCCTCTTGATAATAATGCCGTGAAACCAGATAAAAAGACAGATGAAGAATGGACAAAAATGAATAGAAAAACTGTCGCACAAATTCGGCAGTGGATCGATCATAGTGTGTCCCACCATGTTGCGCAAGAACAAAGTGCTTACACACTATGGGAGAAGCTTGGTAGCATGTATCAAGCAAAAACCGCCCGAAATAAGACGTTACTAATGAGGAGATTAGTAAACCACAAGTTACGAGGAGGTATTTCGGTGTCAGAACACACCTGTCAATTCCAGGATCTTGTGAATCAATTGAGCACCACCGGATGGGTTCTCAAAGATGAGGAGTAGGCGATATTACTGTTGAGCTCTCTACCTGACAGCTGGGAGACTCTTGTTGTCACTCTCAGCAATTCTGCTCCCAATGGCAAGGGGACTATGCAGATGGTCACAGATGCCCTTATGAACGAAGAAGCTCGAAGTAAAGAAGCTGGGACTGAACAATCATATGCCTTCGTGTCAGAAAAAGAGATTGTAGAAAGTTTCTACGAGAGTAGCCACAGACGAGTCAAAATACTAGCCAAGAAGATGGTGAGACCATGGTTAGTTTGTCATCAGACGTGTGTCTTGTTACACATGGTGAACAAGAATGTTTACACATAGGTACTCATGATGTTGAGTGGGTGATTGATACAGCCGCATCATTTCACGCTACTCCACACCAGAACTTATTCACATCTTATAAGTCAGGAGACTTTGGAGCTGTGAAGATGGGAAACACCAATTTCTCGAAGATTGTTGGCATTGGTGACGTGCACATAACAACCAATGTCGGATGTGCACTTGTGTTAAAAGATGTTCGACACGTTCCGGATCTTAGATTGAATCTTATCTTCGGTACAGCTCTGGATCAACAAGGATATCTTAACAGATTCAAAGAAGGTACGTGGAAGTTATCTAAAGGTTCCTTGGTTGTTGCAAGAGGCCATATTTGTGGTACTCTTTATAAAACTCATGCAAAGTTGTGTCATCCAAGTCTTAATGTTATTGAAGAAAAGATATCACCAAACTTGTGGCATCGGAGGTTAGGCCACTTGAGCGTGAAGGGATTGACAACTCTTGATAGGAAGGAAAGGATTTCCATGGGCAAAGGTGTTGCCCTAGATCCATGTGATCGAGCACTGTCTATTCGGGAAACAACACAGGGTTTCCTTTAGTTCTACCAGGAAGAACCATACAGAGTTACTCAGTCTTGTCCACTCTGATGTATGTGGACCCATTGAAGAGGAGTCACTTGGAGGAAGCAAATACTTTGTGACATTCATTGATGATGCGTCACGAAAGGTATGGGCTTACTGTTTGAAGAGTAAGGATCAAGTGTTCCATCGCTTCAAATTATTTCATGCGATGGTAGAAAGAGAAACAGGGAAGAAGCTGAAGTGTCTACGATCAGACAATGGAGGAGAGTACATTTCCCGAGAGTTCTCAGCATATTGCGCTGCATACGGAATCCGACATGAGAAGACGGTTCCACGAACTCCGCAACACAATGGTGTAGCCGAAAGAATGAATCGGACCATTATGGAGAAAGTTCGTTGCATGCTGAGTATGGCTAAACTACCTAAGCCATTCTGGGGTGAAGCTGTGCTGACAGCTTGTTATCTTATAAACAGGTCACCTTCTCTTCCTTTAAACTTTGAAGTGTCAGAAAAGAAATGGTCAAGAAGAGATGTTTCTTACTCTCACTTGAAAGTGTTCGAGTGCAAGGCATTTGCACATGTGTCCAAGGAGTTGACACAGAAGCTTAATCTCAAGTCAAACCCATGCATCTT